CGGCCAGCAGCAGGGAATGAGTTAAACTCTTTCCTAGAGAAGTCATGGCCCATCAATTGAAGCCCATTAAGGTGTGACCTGTGGTTTCAAAAGAGAGGGAGGTGGAATAAATGCTAATCCTGAAATTAAATTCAGAATTTGAGAGGTTTTGGGGGGAAATCAATTTGAAATTTGATTTCAAATTAAGTTGTAATCAATGCATTAATTGGGAATTGAATGGGGCTCCAACCAAGGTGAGGTCGGCGGCATGTGGAGAGAGGGGAAGAGTGTGGGAGCCATTGAGGGGTTTCCAAATCAGCACATGGGAGTTAGGAAAGCTTATGATGAAGTCCATTTGAATTTGAATTTCGTCATAATGCGGATTTAAGAACTTTCCTTATTAGGAATTTCTAAATATGGAAAGTTTTGAATTTCAAATTTTGAAATTCAAAAATTGGTAACTCGTTTATTTATTGCTAGGCCACAATCAAGGAGCCATTATGATGATTGACATCTTCATCATGGCTTGGGGCGAGGTGGTGGCCGGCGGCCAAATGAGGAAGAGGGGGCTTGCTGTCGGGTTGGGGGTTTCTTGATGGAGCTTGGGTTGTAGTGGAGGAAGCTAGTGGATAAAGCGGTGGATGATTGGATCTCGGGTAGGGCTTGGTGTGGGGAGGAGGAAAACAAGAGTTGGAGAAGAAAACAATAAGATAAAATAAACCACGAGTCGAGGACGCTTCCAACGACTGGCGGGTATTGCTTTTGTGCTCACCTTGGGCTTTTCCTAGAACTCACACAGAGATCTATGAGAGTTGAACTCACTAAGAGATCAAGAAAATATGAACTCACAAAGAGAACACAAAAAGAAGAATTTCATTTTCAATAATCATCATCCTCTTTCCAAGAGGAGGGAGAAGGCTTAAATAGCCAAATACATGAAGGAAAATAAAAAGACATAATTGCCCCTAGGCAAACATAAGACAAAAGCCCTCAAGTGAGGGTAGAAAGGGAAAAGTACAATAACAAAACAAATACATAAAATTTTTCAAAATAAATAGACGCGATCGTAGCCGTTGATCTTCGATGTCCTCATCACTACTCGTTACTCGATTCGATTAAAGCTCGTTCGTGATAGTTAAATTAATTAAATAAACAAATTTGAATATTTTTTTAGATACTCGATCCTTAAATAAATAAGCTTGAGCAATAATATGTTCGGCTCATTTATGTTCACGAACTATATCATTTAAAGCTCGTGAACAAGCTCGATAAGAAGCTTTCATTTTATTTTATACCTTCAATATAATAAATTTATTCATGAACAAGAGACATTTGTTCATGCTTGCTGGATTTTTTATTTAAAATATTCATGAACAAATATAAGATGAATCATAGATCGTTTGTTCATGAACGAGCTCATTTGGTAGCTCAAACATACTAATTAGATATGTTCATGAACAAGCTCATTTGATAGCTCAAGAGTACTCATTAGATATTTTTGTGAACGAGCTTATTTGATAGTTTAAAAAACTTCGCTAGATATGTTTGCGAACATGCTGGACGTATAATTCCTTGGTCTTCTCTCTCGATTCTCATTTCGACATTCTTCAGGTCAATAAACAATTTATTAAAATCATCCAAATGTTTTTTAAGCTCCTTTGCTTCATCCATTTGGATCGTGTACGGCAGTCTGCAAACTCCATAAATCTCTATACGGATTGAAGCAGGCTCCTCGTCAATGGTTCTAAAAACTCACCTCATTTCTACAATTGCAAGGATTTACCTTCAGCCGCTCGGACCCGTCCTTACTCCTCCACAACGGCCAGACTCAGCTATACATTTTAATTTACGTGGATGACTTCCTCGTTACCAGAAACAACACAACTGCTATAGACAGACTTCTTCATCATCTACAAACTCAATTTGCTCTCAAACAACTAGGACACATCTCTCTCTTTCTTGGCATCCAGGTAACTCAATCCTCAACCGGCTACTTTCTATCCCAAGAACACTATTCTACTAAACTTCTCAATGATGCAGGTTTCAAGGACTGCAAGCCGGCCCCGACACCTATCACGAACAAGACTCGCACGCCGACAGCTCTCAGTCCTCCGTTCTCGGACCCATCCCTCTACCGCCGCCTAGCGGGATCACTTCAGTATCTGTCGATCACCAGGACGGACATTGCCTATGCTACGAATCGGGTATGCCAACACTTGCAAACCCCAACCGAGCAAGACTTCAAAGACCTCAAACGCCTACTTCGATACATCAATGGCACCCTTTCTTTCGGTCTGCCTATCACCATCGGCAAATTGGAGCTTCATTCCTACTCGGATGCAGACTGGGCATCCGACACAAGTGATCGAAAGTCCATTTCAGGATATTGCACATTCATTGGGCCAAATCTCCTCTCCTGGACAGTGAAAAAGCAAGTCACGGTGGCTAAATCGTCGACAGAAGCTGAGTACCTGTCACTCTCCGCCGCCGCATCCGATGTCCTCTGGCTTCGCCGCTTAGCTTGCGAACTTCAGCTGCCACAGCCCAATCCAACAGTTATACATTGTGACAATACCTCTGCTATAGCCATAGCCAAGAATCCCGTCTTCCATGCACGCACAAAACACATCGAGATTGACTACCACTTCATCCGCCAACAAATTAGCTCCGGGGAGATCAACCTCGCTCACATACCTTCCAAGGATCAAGTGGCGGACATATTGACTAAACCCTTTCCCATTTCAAGGTTCAATGATCTTAGACACAAATTAACCATTCGCTCAAAGAATGATTAATTTGAGGGACCATATTAGAATATAATTACACATTGTATTTTCTATTCACTGTAAGACCGGCTTCATGCCTCTATATATACAGCACTGTACACCTCAATTGACAATAAGAGACATTTATTTTCCCTTTACCTTCTGTTCATCTTTCTCTGCCGGTTTCCTCTGTCTCCCTGCTTCTCCATCTTTGTCACATATAACCTCGCACGGGTCTTTAAAATCTTGTTAGTGTTGATGGAGTTGTTAATGCAACACAGGAGGAGCAAGTGGAATTGGCGCAGAGACAGCGAGGGTGTTTGCTCTTCGACGAGCCCACGTCATCATTGCTGCCAGGAATGTAGAAGCTGCCAATGATACCAAGAAGATTATCATTAAGTGCAATCCAGCTGCTCGTGTGGATATTATGAAACTTGATTTGAGCTCACTGAAGTCTGTAAGAGCCTTTGCAGATAATTTCTTGGCAACTGGCCTGCCACTTAATATTTTGATGTAAGCTATCACTATTATAATCATTATGTATTAATATCCTTGGAAATTTATTTGCTTTTGCACCCTGCATTGATATTGATATTAATTTATGCTTTTTTAACCTGCAGAAATAATGCTGGTGTCATGTTCTGTCCTTTCCAGCTTTCAGTGGATGGTTTCGAGATGCAATTTGCGACCAACCATCTTGGTTTGCCATTTTACTTGATTCTTGAAGAATATTTCTGTATGAACTTTTATTCCAAAGCTTATGGATCACTTTTCTTTCATAATTATTATTCTGTTGCATTATCAGGTCATTTCTATTTGACCAACCTTCTTCTTGAGAACATCAAGAGAACGGCTAAGGAGACTGGCATTGAAGGGAGAATTGTGAATTTGTCATCCTTTGCACACGTTCATACTTATGAAGGAGGAATACTGTTTGATCAGATCGACAACAAAGCTGGGTATGATGATACCGGACTGAACTTAATTTTCCATTTTCCATCTTTGGATATTCTGTGATTATCTCAGCAATTTTGCTTGTCATGAATTTCACTGGATGAAATGATTATGACTTGTGTATTAATGTTTTCTCTCTCTCTTTCTTTTCGATATCATCAGATATAATGACAGAAAGGCCTATGGACAATCAAAACTTGCTAACATATTGCATGCACTTGAGTTGTCTAGACGCTTGAAGGTAGTTCTGCTTCTTATTGCTATCTACTGTTTCTGCAATTTATTGATAGTCTATGGATTTAATGGTAGTAAAGATCTATAATGTATTTGCTTGCTACAGTTTGATCAGTCGCTCTTTTTTTTTTTAATGCTTGCAAGTCTTCAATTCTGTTAATTCTCTGTTAATAGAAGAAATCTGCTTCACAACAGACTTGCTCTTCAGTACAGAAATAAGATACCCATTTGTTATGACAGATCCTAAATTCTTAGGAGCATATTTTTATCTCCGAGTTGTGAAGAAATTCTCTGAATTTGCATGTGGAACGTAAATACTACTAATTCTTACTTAGTTATTCCCTCTCTTAAAAGTGGCTAGTAAACATGGCAGAGAACATAAATAAGAAAGAATAAAACCAATAAACTTCTGTTTTATTCAGTCCAAGTCTTATCATTTCAACCAATCAGGAAAAAATCATATTTCTTTTTTGTTGTCAAGTGTTAAAAGAGAAGATATGTGTCATTAAAGTCAAAATAGAAGCCCCAAATTGAAGATAAGCCCATGAGGTCAAAATGTGAAAGTATAATTCAAATACCGCATCAGTGGCAGAATCCACGCTGTTCACATGGAAAAATTATTCTGTGCGGATGCTGAATGCCGTTCGGAGCGAATTAGAGTGCGCCACGTCAAGTTTTTGCTGTGTACTGTGACTGTGTACCAAATGATTTGGCGCGATCTGATTCGTCTCCAGACGGTCCGGTGTCCGCAAAGAATAATTTCTCGTTCACATGGATGGACTAGGAGCAGAAGAAGTTTCAATGTGTTTGACTAGTTTCAAACTATGCTTTTGACGTACTACTGAGCGATGACTTCTGTCAGTGCTCTCTTATTGGACAAACTATAGAGATATATGTTATATAATCCTAGTAACCGTGATATCAAACATGTGGGGAACTGGGAAAACAGAGCCTTGTGGTTCTAGAATCCTGACTGCTGACATAATTAATGACAGTACTCGCCATCTGAAGAGCAATTTGTAGTTTTATATGAAGGTTTTCCTGTTTCATCCTTCAAGCTATGCATTGAATTGATGAGTGCTCACAAATTTCCTCTAACTCATTTTTATGTTAGATAAACAATAAATATGTTGAAGTGTGATCTAAATCGGTAAATCCTCACACGAATTGCAAAATGCTTGGATGGTTGACTTGTTTTGCGAATCTCTCACAGCATATTTCTTTCTAGTGCCCTTCTGCTAACTGGTTTTCTGCTATCATATTAAGCTCCCTATGAACAGTATTAACAAATATTCAATCTTGCAAAGCAGGAGGAAGGTGCTAATGTAACCGTAAATTCTGTTCATCCTGGAGTAATCATGACTAATTTAATGCGACACTCCTTCCCCATGATGAGTAAGTACATGAATTCTGAAAATTTGAAGTTCATTAAAAGTTGCCGCTCTCTAAAAATTTATGTTCTTTGATGCAGAGGTGATACAAGTATTCACCTGTCTGTTGTGGAAAAATGTACAGCAGGTTTCCATCCTTCACTCATCTTCGGCTTTGTTTGGGACAGCTTTGTGACTGTTTCTTAAAACAGTTTTTTAGTACAAAATTAAAAATTTTTGTACTAAAAAGCTGTTTAAAAAAAAAAACCAAACTTTATCTCTATTCCACATCATAAGCAAGTATATAAACCTAAAGAAGACTGAAATTGCTTGAAAATTTGCAGGGGGCAGCAACCACTTGCTATGTGTCTCTGCATCCGAGCATTACAGGTGTGACTGGCAAATACTTTGACGACTGCAACGAGGTGAAGCCTAGCATTTTGGCGAGCGACGAAGAGCTTGCAAAAAGATTGTGGGACTACAGCGAGAAGTTGGTGAAATCTGCTGAGTGATATTTAACTAATTGGGTCAGCGCTCAGCCTTTCATTTTTTCTTTGTTCAGAATAAATGCTCTGCAAAATCATGCAAGTTTGCTTATGGTTAATGATATTTTGTCTCGGTCTTCAATCTTCACATGATGAATTTGATCTATTGAAGCTTTTTGAGGATGCCTGGGTTTTTTCGGGAGAGTTGCTAAATCTTTTAGACTGGGGAGGAAAATTTAGGATAAATTTCTTACATTTTGAAAAGAAAGTACAAAGTTGATATGAGTAAATAAGCAAATCAAAAATATTTTTATTGCTTCTTAAAGTGATTTTTTAGTATAAAATTAAAAATTTTTATATTAAAAAATTATTTTAAAAAACAGTAAAAAATAGTCCCAACCGAAACCTCAAGATCATTCAAACACTAATTTTAGTAAACTTCTAATATACTGAACATTTTTCAAATAAAAAAAGGGATTTTTACATACATAACACTTAAAACTTTCATATTTACTTATCTAACATTAAAACTTTTCTATTTACTGTTCAGCCACCTAAAACACTAATAGGTACCCAAATTACCACTCTCGTTAACTCCGTTAACAACCTTCAACCCGACCCTGTCTTTTGTGCGGGAATCCTCCCAATCGAGCAGGTCGACATCGTCAACGCCAGTTGTCTTCTCCACGCCGGCCAATCCGCTCGTCTTCTCCACGCCGCACACTTAGTTCGTCTTCTCAACGCTGATCCGAAATATTATGCGAACTCAAATGATCCGAACAATTGTGCGAACTCAAGCTGTCCACACTAGTCGTCATCTCCACGACGTATTCCCTCGAGCAGCTTTTTCCACACGACTCCACCTTCACCTCGGACACTCTCTCGAAGCTTTTCCCATTTAAAACCTGTAGCTTTTTTATGAAATTTTTTTGAAACAATTATGCATTTGTTTATCAAAACAATACGAGGTCTTCATTTACATACTGTAGCTTCTTTTCTGGATTGCATAGACCTAATCAAAACTAATTGATCCACAATGTATGTCCAGGATGAATTCATGACCTTTTCTTCCAATTTTTTCTTCATTTTATGGCCATGATTCCAACCGCTTACGCATGCAATTTTGGATTTTGTTCCATCCCTATTTTGTGCCCTGGTAACTTGGATGGAATTGTTGGCAGAAATGGATGCGTTCACTGAATAGCCTGGTACAAAAGAATGGTGATCTATAGAAGCTGAAGTAGCTGAGCCACAGGTAAACTGGCAAAGCGATCAGTGACTTGGAGGATGGTGAAGGGTGGAAAAGAAAGCTAGTCCCAGGCATGGTGCAAGGACGATATCCAGCGTATGGAGATTCAACGGAAAATCTAGCTGACCTATTAGAGAGGGGAGGCTGAAAACATTTCCAATCAATATAGAGAAGAATATACCAGCGAGAAAGAGCCGTCCGAGCGCGCGCGAAGCAGTCAGTCGGGTTTCACAGTTAACAGAGTGTTAGTTTTGAAGTGGGAAAGTATTTTTAGGTGGCTGAACAGTAAATAGAGAAGTTTTAGCGTTAGATAAGTAAATATGAAAGTTTTAAGTGTTATGTATGTAAAAACCCCTAAAAAAAAAACTGAACATTTTGTTGAGACAAACCAAATGATTTAAGAAGTGTTACAATCTGAATTCAAGTAAGACGAAATTAAATATTTGAAATACGATCAGAAATTTTGTGACATTAATTGATAGGCTAAATGATTTTCAATTTTTGTGTATGTATAGTCAAAACATAATTCTTGGCAAGAATAATATTATGAGCCTATATCACTCAATTTTGAGGTTATTATAATACTTAAATATTGAAAAAAAGTTTCAATGATCAAATGAATTAACATTGCTGGTCCAATTGAATTTTTTAGAATTTTGACTAAATTTGTCAAAATATTACTTCAAAAAATTAGAAATAAATCCCCTTTATAAGAATTGGACAGTGACTTGAAATTGGAGTGAGCTTAGAGATATGAAAAACTCCAAAGCCTTTTTTGACACTCAACGCTAGGTATCATCACTAGCAACCACTGTCGTCAGATTATTATAGATCGTCATCACATAATAACATCATCAAACAACCAAAACCTAAACACTGTCGCTCGAACTTAGTTGCCCAACTAATGTTATTCAATTGATGTTGTCTGATCCATCTTGCTTAAATGTAATCTCCCTTTATTACTTCAACTTTCTCATCTACTGTCATTAGAGATGAAATTAACATTTAAAATTTTGTGATTTGGTCTTTTCTAATCATAGGGATTTGTGGACCTTTATAATCTCTATTTATATAATGAATCATTTCATATGGGTTAGACCTTATTAGGGGTGCAACTGAGTCAAGCCAACTCTCAAGTCAGCTCGGGCACTCGGTTGAAATTTGTTAACGAGCTCGCAAGTCGAACTTATTGAGCTCGAGCAAAATTTTGAGCTCGTTGTATAATCGAGCTTGAGTTCGATCCACCCAAAGCTCGGCTCTATTGCTCACGAGCCGGCTCAGATGCCTGGCAGGAACTCGAAATATCGTAAGGGATTTGGGAAGACGGAAAGCGAAACGTAAAATGTCGGGTGGGAATGCGGATGCTTGGCGGGAACTAGATGGTACCTGAGTTTGGATGCGGGACGAAGTTTGAACGTTGGAGTGCACGAAGAGAGTTCAGACTACGACGCTGGAATCGACAAGATAGAGGCCAATTGGACACGAGATGTGGGACAGAGCTCGGACGTAGGCATGTTGGGACGCGGAAGTGGACACGATGGAGCTCGAACGACCCTCTCGACGAGCTCATTTGAATGGCATAAGCCGGGCTTGAACTCGACTTATCATGAGATTTGGCTCGGGAGTCGAGCTTGAGTTTTGCCTGACTCGAGCTCGACTAGACTCGTTTGCACTCCTAGACCTTATATTATTTATCATTTTGAATTTTTAGACAAACCGGCCCACAAATTTATGAGTCAAACCAGGTTCATTGACTTATTATTTCATCAAGCTCAACTCACAAGCCATTTAAAAATTTGAGCCCGACTCAGCTCACGATTCCTCTCGACTCAGTTACACCCTTATCTCCCTCCATCCAACTAAATCCAACGGCAGCTTCAAATAAAATTCACCAGCAACAGAATCTGTCATATATATTATAAAAAAAGTTCCATAATGCCATAAAGATTCACAGAATACATAAACCGTTCATTATCCATCATAACAGCCACATACCCAGCTTAATTAATTATCACCATGATATACTAATGGACACCATAAATTCCAAATCAGAATCACAGAACAATCATTCTCCCCTCCAATCCATCGTATCCCTCACTGTTCTTCCCATCGTCCTTATACCAAAAGCCATAAATTTCATATCTCACCACGCAGCTGCTATACAGCACCTGACAACCTTGACGATAACTACAATAATCCGGAAACAAACCCACCGCCGACAGCAAACACTCCCTACAACTCTCCGCCGGCAAATCCCGCGTGCACTGAGCCATCCCTCTAATGGTCACTGTCTTCGTAAACGCCGTCACACCCCAACCAAACCTCCTGTAAGTCGCCACCGCCGCTTCATTCACACTGCCCATAAGCTCCTTCACCGCGCCGTCAAACCTCACGGGATCCGTCGCGTTCTTCACGTTGTATAGGATTAAGCCATTGCTGGTGTCTAACTTGCCGATGAAGTTATCGGCGTCGTAGCGGAGGAAGCAGTAGTCGTACCAGATGCGGGCGTCGGTGCGATTGGGGCAGAGGGAGGGGAGTTGGGTGGCGGCGCCGGTGATGCAGGCTGAGCAGGCGTCGGGTGGGATGTCTCCGCGGCATCGGGAGAGGCCGTAGATGGTGGCGGTGTCGTGGCCGTAGGAGGAGATGGCGAAGCCGGATTGTGGGCTTCTTTTTATGAGGTCGGAGAGGACGGAGTTGATGTTGGATTGCAGGGGATTGGTGGTGGTTGTGAAGGTGTTGTCGCCGCAGTAATGGTTGATCAGGGGGTCCGAGGAAAAGGCGAGGGGGAGAAGGAGGAGGAGGAAGGGAAGGAGGCGGAGGAGTTGGGTGGAGAATGCCATTGCAGATTGCCGGATGATTGATGTTTGTAGACTTTTTATATAAGGGGAGGAAATATGGAACTGTGCTTTGCCGCTTTTTCTGAAAATCTGAGGGTTGACTGCGAAAAGTGCGGCGACCTGGTAATATGGAACTATTCCCCCATAGAAAAGTCCGGCGTTCGAATGGCACTGATGCAAATATTCAAAACAATAAACAAACGTGCTTTAAGTTCGATTATGAGATCTATTAAAACGCATCACGTCATTCTTTTTCTAGGTTGATATATCAGTAAAAAATTATCTTGATCAGGCACGAATCTCAAAGCAAAATTGAGTTGAAAGCTTCCAAAATTAAATCAAAGACCATATGAGTTCCGATTTCAGCAAACTTATAGTCAAACTGAACGTCTCAGAAAGACAAACCCATCGACACCAAATTCGACTCAATCCGAGCCCAAATGGGTCCAAATCAAAGGTCTGAAGTGCTGTTGAAGGGTTCAAACCACAATTTGGATTACCAAACGGTTTTCAAATATGGCATGCTTATATTCGAATCGAGCGGCTCGACGAGACGAATCCAACGAGCCCAAGATCATTTAATTCTGAAATTGTTAACGCATCTAATTGACCAATAAACGGTCCATGAGCAAGGGGATCAATATCGGCCGTCCATTCAAACACTCTCATTTTGCCCTTGATCCTCCACATATTTACAATCCATGCCACTCTCAAAAAACTATAAATAGGCCCTCATTCTTCACATGAAGAGGAGGAGGAAGAGGGAAAAGAAAAGAAGAAAGGGAGGAATTTGGGAGCTCTCTTGCCATCGACCACCACCGGAGTTCCTGCCGACCACCACCGGGGGTAT